ATTTAAATTTTAGGGACAATTAGCTGAGTTACATTAAATTTTTATTAGTATTTTTTATGGTCAAAATCAGTAACAATATCTTAAAGTTTTAGTTTTTTATAATCAATTTAGCAAATATCATTTAATTAAATTAAGAACTCTGTTAAGTAAATATTCATAAATAGCCTCGAAGCAAACCATTGGTGAGATAATAATTCATAAGTAACATGGGGAAATGAAATTGTTATAGGAACTCGTGTTCTAATTGCTCTTATATATTTTTTTAATTATAATATATATATTTTTAGAAAATATCTCTATTAACCTTATTTTTTTGATAATCAAGAAAATGAATAAAATTTCATTAATTAAAATAATTAAATCATATTCTCTTATCTCTTTCTAAAAATTCCTCATTATCATAATCATGTAAATTTTAATCAAATTAGCTAGTTAGTTTGGATCCTAGACTTGACTATTTTTGAAAATCTTTGAATGAATTACACACCAAGTCTTGAAAGACGACGCTTTTTAAATATGTATCTCTTTGCCTAAGCAAATTTGCTTCTGAAAAGCAATCAAGGAATAGCTATTTAAAGATGGCAGCATGTTCTTTATCTTTTTCTCGAAACAACTGTTCCACAAGATTCTTCTTTAATCGGACCCCTTTCTCTTATGAGACTTCTATAGCTGTTGATGGTCATTCGAAATAAGTGCTTCCTAGTTATTCCTCAAGCAGATGAGGACACTTTTAATATTATCAATTGGAAAATTGCTCAAAAATATTAATTTTATTCAACAATTTAAAGAATGAATTTAAAGTCTAAAACTAGTAGCAATATTTTGATTGATACAAATGATTTTGAAGTAAAAGTCATCTTTGCTATTTGAAAGTAAACGCCAGAATCATCCATTAATTGGGCCAATGTCTCTATGATGAATTAAATTCTGCAAAACTTTTCATTAAAAATATATTTTATTGAGAGGATAAGAATATAAGCTGATAAACCTTTTGCAGAATTGGCTGATCCCTATGTCAAATGCAGATCTTTTTTTCTTTCTAAGTATAACACTATCATTATTCTCTTCTCCTTGTAGGATGAATTAATATTAGGATTTCTTGTTAAATGATGTTTGATTTAGACGTAAAAGAGATATTCTTAAATATTTCTTCTAGCCTTTCTTAAATTTTCTAATACATACTAATTGGAGTTCACTTTTTTCTTTATGTTATTAAAAATCTCATTATTCAATAATAAATTAACTACTGAAACTTTTACTTATACTACTTTAATTTAAAATTATAAAATGCTTATATTGATTCAAATTATTATTAGGAAAATTGAAATATTTGCTTTAAATTCTTTTTAGCTAGAATCAATAAATAATTGTAGAAAATTTGAATGTTTTTTTAATTGAACAATCTAAAATAATTTAAACAAAGAAATAGATATTTATATCACATATAATCCTAATAAAAAAGAGAGGAATTAATTCAACAAATCTGTAGATTAATCAGCTACAAATACTGAAGATTATATAATTATAACATGAAAGGTAGAAAATCTTATAATAAGAACTTTATTTGATAAAGAATGAATCAAAATGTATTCCTGATGAATTTATAAATTGAAATTATTTAATAAATGATTAATTTTATTAAAGTTAATAGGATAGAAAAACCAATTTTATAAATAGCGTTGAAAAGTATGATTAAATCTTAAATCAATCACACAAATGTAAAATATTATATTTAGCTATCTTATATTATTAATATGCATTGAAGTTCTTTCAAATAGACCTATCTACTAAATTTTAGAAATAATCTCCTACCTTCATCAAAGATTAAATACAAGCTACAGAATTTTTTAATATCTTTAAAGGTCAATTGCAGTAAAGTTTGATTAGGTGACTTTTGTAATTTTTTTAGGATTAAATTTAATTGATGATTAAATTCATATTACAATAATATTGAGAAATATCTTTATAAATAGAGATAGTATAAGCAATCAAAGAAAATAAAGTCAATTTTGAAGATTTTTAACATTTAAATCCTTAATATATAATTAAAAAACTATATTCTCTAAAAAATCTAATAATTAAAAATTTCTTATTGCTGAAATCTTTAGATGGATACAAATCTATAAATTATTAAAATCTGAAAATAATAATGCTAGGGCTTAACTCCCAAGGCATATTGCAAAAATGTATAAACATACCATAATCTCACTTTTAATTGGTAATCTTATAATTAATTATAGCTAATCTTTCAATGAATTATTATTATGATAATTTAAATTGCTTCTTATTCATCATAAGAATGCTAATTATAAGTCTAACTCCAAATTTACAATTTTTTCCAGCTGAAATTTAAATTTGAAGTTTTAAAAACTTTATTTGTTCTACATTTTCATATGAAGATTTTTTTTTGTGTTTTAGAACTTCTTTTGATTTTTAAATTCTAAATTAATTATATTATGCATATCTTTTACTGTATCGTAAAACTATCCTATTAGTTTTTTATTTCTTTACTTACATAATACTTTTTGCGAATAACATTATTAAATAATCCAAATAGAATCAAATAAAATTAATCTAAAATTTATA